CAACAAAATCCCATGGCTGGATGCTGAAGGTGAGCATGCTCATTTTCCATATCAGTGTTTCAAGCAGTGGGGATAAATGGCTGATGGGGGAGCTTTCCAGGGACTATAATGAATCCTCCACCACCACCAATGTTTATACCAAGCATTAATATTATTTCTGAAAACATACACTCATTCATACGAGTAGGGAAGTCCTGTGGCCTTCAACCTGCAGAGAGATGCTCACCATGGTCCTTTCTGCCTTTAAAATCTCCTCATCATCCTCCATTTCCCGATACACCCTACCCTCAAGAGAGCTATGAATATTGGCTGAAATGGCAAGGATGATCTTTAGAGATGTCAAGACAATATGCCAGTGAAAGGTCATGAACACTCTCATGATGGCACCTGGCCCTACAATAGCAGCTAGAGCTTGATCTTAATGTCACGGCTCCTCTAGTCCAACAGGCAAAAGAAAAAACTGGAACCAAAACACATACCAAAGACAGGAGCCAAAGGCTGCAACTAGGTGAAAAGAATCGAGATTTTGTCCAAAAGACATAGATTTCAACCATTAGCTAGTCTGGAGACCACTGATTTAAACACAGCAGCTGGTCCTAGAGACAGACACACTCATACTTGCAAGGGAGCAGCTGAGGATACCTGCGTATCCTGTATATGCTGGCATACCTTAGCCAGGATAACCTCACATCCAGATCTGGTGGCCCTGATACCTCTCTGTTTATGGCCCAGAAGGGAAACTCTTTTCACCGTCCCCAGTTGCAGGCTGTTCCTGCCATCAGCCTCTAATCTGCTGACCCATTATTAAACCAGCCTCAATCCCACTACCTAGAGAAAGCAAATATGACTGGTGGAAAACAGAAGCTATCATCCCGATGTGCAAGGAAACCAGGAGCAGAGGCACTGAGCTATAGCCAGCACAGATTTTTCAAAAGGACAAGGATTTTCATGGCTCAGCATTCTAATTTGTTTGACCGTTTATTTCCAAGGAACACATCCAAGAGTGACAAGCTCCATTTATTTCAATGGGCAGCATATGCCAGCAACGTGAATGGCGTATGCTATAAAAGAGAATGGATGTTCTCAAGCTTCCTGGAAGAGCTGTCCTTTCGACAGATAAAGGACGTGTCAGTAATGGAAGCGCAGCTCTGCTCTGACAAGCAGCACCATAAAAGTGACGTTGTGGGTTCCTGTGTTTGATGGCTCCCCATGGCAGCCCAGTGAGATTTGCTTAGGCTCTAAGTGAAAAATGGTTTTCCTAATATTTGTCCCAGTGCTAAGGAGCCCAGCTGGGTTCTTTCATCCTTCTCCTTCCCCAGGCCACAAGGACATCTCCTTAGAACAAATGGCAGCTCTTGGGTGTTAGTGATGCACCCTTGCAGACTTTGAGTGGGTATGTACCAACCTACAAATGCCATTACTTTCAAACGATCATGTGACATGAATCTGAGATGTCCACACAACAAAGTGCCCCCTTTCCCTAAAATACCATGGCATAGCAGCAGTGCTTTCAGTCTTATTTCTTCTGACTACACCCTGAAGACAATCCTCTTCTGACTCTTGCCTTTCCAAAGCCTGATCCCACCGGCCCCTGAAAGACCCTGGGTCATGAGTCTCTGTCACAGATTTAGCACCACCCATCACTTAATATTGTTTGTTGGCCCCTAATACTTTGCTGTGTCATAGCAGTGGGCAGCTTTTATTTGCAATCATTAATGAATTAGCTAATATTAGTTCCATGATAGCTCTTATCTAGTGAGCAGTCTCAGTCATAAGGTTTTATGGGCTTGTCAGGGAGCCCTGGAGGTCAAAACAGTGATTTTCTCCTTGTTTCTCAGTGAGATGGCCCCTACAATGGTGGGATGTGGGGGTTTTGATACTGAATCGTTCTCTGGCCACCTTTCATTCTCATTAAACTTACGAGGTTGCTGGGAAGGAGATGGGTGTTGCATGAGCTGGAATGCCATCCACAGGAAACAACTTCCACTTCTCTCTATACCTTCAGCCCTGAAAGCAACATCTCAAGCCAGGTAAAGAAGAAGAGATGTTCAAGGCTCCCTTACAGCTCTCCAGCGTGGAAAAATATAATCCCAGATTCTCCTCCAGGAGATGTCTGTCCACCTGGGCTTCAAAGTTTACTGTCATGGATTTAGTCTGCAGTAAGGCCACAGCCATACAACACTCCTGGACATCCATTGTGCAAACTGAAGGCCTTTGCTATGCTTCCATTTTCCCTATTCACTTTCTCTTCATTAGAAGAGCAGCTTGAGGGTCGTGGTTTCCCCTTTTACAGAGAAGCCAAACCAATGCTATTCATGCCATTAAGGTCACCATCTGGGAATTTCACAGAACCACACAGAATCACAGAACGGTTTGGGTTAGAAAGGACCTGAAGATCATCCAGTTCCAACCCCCTTCCATGTTCAGGGATGCTTCACACTAGACCATGTTGCTCCAAGCCCCATCCAGCCTGGCCTTGAACACTGCCAGGGATGGGGCATCCAGAGGTTCTCTGGGCACCCTGTGCCAAAGTCTCACCACCCTCACAGGGAAGAATTTCTTCCTAATGTCCAACCTAAATCTCCCCCTCTGTCAGTTTAAAGCCATTACACCTTATCTTGTCCCTACATACCCTTGTAAAAAGCCCTTCTCCAGATTTCAGTTTGTCTTAACGCCAGTGAGGTGCTTGTTTAGTGAAGAGACCAACCATAGCCTTGCACTGGCCGTGGCTATATTTGGGGATATAAGTCATCAGGTGGCCTTACATCTATGCAGCTTCCTTTGGGACACATACTTTGGTACTCAGTGTGTGAGTCTCCACTTGCATTAATCTATATTCTAAGACAAAAGACACAGAGAGCTTGAGGAAGAGCTATAGTCTCCTTTGCCAAAATGCAACTGGTTTAGTTTCCATCATCTGCACTTCCTGACCACTTCTGGTGACCTCCCCTTCTGGACCAGTCAGCTCTGCAAACCAGCCTCTTCCTCCAGATGCAAGCGGTTGGAAGCAGGAGAGCTCTCCACTGAGAGAATTTGGCCTTGCTGCTGGGCTTTGGGGTTTGTCTGCTCAGAGAAGAGCCAGGCTGTCAGCTCCAGCATTTCTGACAGGCTTCTTGGTGTTAAAGTTCTGGTAGATGCTGCAGGCCTGGGGTGTCCAGAGCAGGGTGGGAACCTCTGGGTATAACACATCTGGGAGCAGAGCAGTGGGGTAATCGGATCACAGCAGCAGTAAACAGCGCTTTATGAGGAATCAGAAATGTCCATTCATAACCAAAGGGCATCAAGAAGAAACTGCTCATGCTCTTCCTGGAGATTAAAGAGCAAGCCACGCAGTGACAGCATCTACAGCAGAGAGCAGGGTGTCTTGCATGAACAGCAGCTTCCTGGCTCTTGCCTATGCATACTTGTTCCATCACCTGCAGCTTCTGTGGTCTGAGACCTCAGGCTTACACCTTGAGGAGCGCTGCAAGCCAAAGCCCCTAGCACTGAGCCACAGTCAAATAAAAGGTGGCAAAGGGCTCCTTCACAGCTTTAGTTAGTTCTTTTCACAGTAGCAAGGGGGGTTACTGAGTCCCTGTGCCTAGGAGATCAAACAGCCCCCTGAGCACCTATGTAAACCATCCCCCCCCCTTCCATGCAGACCATGTATCTCACAACAATGCCTCCTGCTCCCCTCAAGCTCAGCAAAAGGCTTTCTGCAGCTCTAGAAAGCCCCCTTTGGGGACTGGCACAGAGGTGGCCTGAGGGCACACACGGTTCAGACCTTCCCAGCCAGAGGCTGCATTGCTGGTCTCTGCCTTTCATGGATGGTCTTTGATGGGCATGTCCCATGGCACCCAAGGATCACCTAGACAAGCATCTCCGATAGCACTGCTGGGATCCTGTTGGATGTCCATGAATCCAGTGTAGAGATGTGGAGTCAGAGCACCTACAGAAGCGACAGCTTCCTGCTGTCTTGGAGACATTGTGGGCAGGAAAAGGGAGAGAAATCCCTAAATTTCCCTGAAAGAAATGTCCATGGGGTTGTTCTTTTGCTAGTGGACCAGGTGACACGCAGGGACATTGTATTCTTTGCTGGAGTATCTATCATTTTCAAAAGAAATCAGACAAACCCCAGAATTATCCAGGAATTCCTGTTGAGGTCCTGCAAATCGTATCAAGAGCAGAACCTCTCCCTATTCAGAGATCTCTCAGCCTTTTGCATGGTTTACTGGGTGAACTTGTCATCACCTTCCTCCCTGAAGACACCTGTAAGTGCTTAGCTGCCACCTCACACACATACACCCACCCCCAACCCCTCCATCCTGCGCATGGGACCCAGGGAGAGATGGAGCTCTGGTGAGACTAAGCACCACTAAGCACTCTGTGCATCACACATCCCTCCTGCTGCCTCTTTTTTGGGGGTCCAGAGGGAGCCTGCCAGCACAGGCTCCTGACACAGAGAAGTCCCCAGGGAGGAAGGTGATTACACAAAGAAAAGAGGCTTACAGCCCCCATTTGGTGGGATCTGAGTGGAGGGAGACAGGGAACAGGGGATCAGAATGGAGAACAGGCTGCCAGCTAAACGGGGCTGGAGCAAGGTGGCAGCAAGAAGAGTCATCCCGGTCAAAGGCATCCCCTGGCTCCAGTGCAAAGGGGCCTGGCTCCATCTGGCCTCTTGTGAGCAGAAAAGCCTCGTCCCCACAGCCGGCTCCTTCGCCTCATTGTCTGTGTGCTGGAGCAAGGATGGCAGGGATAGAGACACTGGGGGGGGGGGGGGAGGGGGGGGGCGACAGAGGGCCTGCCTGCCCCCCCCGGCCCTGGTGGACCGTGCCTGCCATGCACTGGGATTGGGGTGAGTGGGAGACAGGGCAGGGGGACTACCGATATACATGCACAAAACCCCATGTCTGACGATTCTCCACATGCTCGGTGTACATGATGCAAATTGATGCTTAAAGCTTATTTATTAGCTTGCATGCAAAATGCCAGCGGTGTTTTTCTAGATCAGTGGGTATCCGATATTGTAGGGGGGGGGGGACAACGGTGGTGGAAGTGAGCATGGCTAGAGACTGTATATCCAGAGGCTAGGGTTTGTATCACGGGCTGCTCTAGACTGTTATAATTTGTGGCACAGATTCAGCGAGAATCTGATCTGCTGAAAATATTTGGGCTGTGAAAACTCCCACACTGTGACAGATGTCAAGTCCAATTAAGTGACTCGTGTCCAGGTTTCTGTCCAATAGGCTTTCCCATTAAATATCAATTTAAGAGGGAAAAAATGCCGCCCCCTTTTCTCCGAGCCTTTATCTCTTCCAACCATCTCGATGCTAAACCCTTTGGTACCAGGAGCGGATCCGCATGCATCTCCGCTCTGTCCGTCTGCCTGTCTCGCCCCTGCCACCTTCCGCACCTCTCCTTGGCTTCTTTGCCACTCCGCGAGGGGTGGGAGGAGGAACTGCACTTTCTTTTTGTGCGAGTGAGCATACCTTTTCCTGCACGGACGTTCCCCCTCGCAGCCGCTCCGACCCCGCGCCGAGATTTGCGTTTATTTCGTTTTGATTTTTCTTTTCAACGTTCGCATTTCGCTTTTTCTATTCTCCCTCGAGAGATGCAGGAGGAGTTAGGAAGCTCAGGGACGGATGGGGGTTCCGTTTATCCTTTTTTCCCACCCCCTCGGCAGCTCTTGAAGGACCAGAAGAAAAACTAAACCAAACATTTTATTTCCCGACGGCCTCTCCCCTTTCTCCTGCCCCTCTCTCCGTGGATTAACAAACCCGCACGTTGCACCCCGAATAATAACACTAGAGAAGAAAAGGAGGGAGCAACGCATTGTTACCGGGGCCGCGGCCGAACAAAGCCGGCAACGCCAAGCCCGGCTCCGCGCAGCGCGGAGCGGCCGCCGGTTTTCCGTGCCCGGGGCTCCGCGCCGGGCCCGGCCCGGGAGCTGCGGAGGGGGGGGGCAGAGGGGAAGGAGAGCCCGAGGGGGCGGGAGAGAGGGAATAACCCCTGCTGGGGCTGTCGCCGCATTCCTTTTGTTACTTATCGCGATTGGGGAACAGGACGAAAGAAGAGCGGGGGAACCGGCACTTCCCGGCGCAGTCCCCCCCCAAAACATAACCCCGACTGGCAGCAGCTGCCGGTGCTGCTCCGAATTAGCGGGCGGAGGCAGACTTCGATGGGGGAAACGCTTTTTCTCCCCGATGCATCGTAAGTAACTTAAGTTGTTATTTATACTCTGCCACCAACCACGGCGATAACATCTCCCCATCTCCGGAGCGCTGGAGGCCGCGGCGAGGGATGAGATCTGCCTTTTCCCCATCCAAGCAGGACACTTTTTCAGCTCCTAATTCATTTGATTTGATTTTGATGTTTTAATTTTTCCATGCTCCGTTGCCGGAGGGTCATTTAAACTGTAAAGGAATCGCCGAGGGGGCGAGGGGACCCGGAGAGAGAGGCTATCCGAACCGCTCCGCCGAGGTAAGCAGCTTTCACAATGTATGTCCCTTTGCCAGGTATCACGGGCTTGCTGAAACGGGGGGTGAAAATAGAGAAAGGGGGGGGGGGGGGGGGGGAACCATCTTTCCGGCTCAGCTCGCCAAAACCCGGCCTATGGGTAAACCCCAAAACCAAAGAGGAAAATCCAACTCAAACCTTTAAACAACTTTCTTCAGGAACCACGTCTGTAACTGCCCGTTTTCCTGCAACTGCCCTCTTCTCCTGTGCTTTCGCACAATCCCTTTAAAGGTGGTTTTAAATGTTTCCTATTCATCTATGTTGTTTTTATTCCAAGAGATGGCTAACACCTGACCCGCGGGGTTTATTTCTTGCTCCTGCCTCCTGGGCCTGATCCCTGCTCCTTATTAAAACTCCAAGAGGAAGGGTTCCCTATGGCCCTGACAGGCGGCCCTTTCTTAGGGAAACAAGCGCTTCCCTCCTCCCGCTCCAGGCCTTTTTCCTCCGGGCACCCCGGTGGAGCCCCGCCACGCGTGTCAGTGTCTCGCCCCGGGAAGAAGCATTCCTCCTGCCTTCGTTTAACGTCTCATTGTCATTATTATCATCGTTATTATTATTACTGCTACTTTTAATTCATTTTTCCCAACCGGGCCCGAGACCCGAGGGAGGACTTTGCCTGGAAACTTCGCGTGGAAATACTGGGCAAACCTGAATTCGGGAGAAGAGGAAGGACGCGATGTTTCCTCCTCCTCCAGGCTTGTTCCTCACCTCCCCCGACACCCTGGCCACGCACACACACACACACCCCCTAAGCACACGCACATTTGTGTCCAAGGTTATTCACTAGTTGCCTGATGTATTGTTTTATCACATGCCGGCATGTCCACGGACGCGCTCGGGTTTGTATTGCTGTCTACATGACAGATGGTGCTCTGTGAGGCCGCAAGAAGATACGATTCAATTTTCTTTTGAAAGGCACGTCCGCATTTATTTATTTATTTACCCCCCGTTCCCCTCCTTTTCGCGCAGGGAGGGGAGAGGAGGGAAAATTTAAAGGAATGGAAAAAGTTCGGCCGCTGCTTTTAAGCTTTGGTTTCTTTTTCAATCCCACGCTTAAAAATAAGCTCTCTCCAAAACATCCCCCGTTCGGGCGCTGGCGAATCGCTGCCCGCACCATTAGCAGCAGGAAAGGTAAACAAAACAAAAAAGGAAGGGAAATGGAGAGAAAAGAGCAGGGGGAGAGCCCCGCAGGTACATCAGACCCCGTACTTTGGATTGGGGAAATAAATTTCCCCACTGGCCTTGTTATGTTTAGGGAGCCTTGGGCTGTATATTTAAGAGCATCATGCCTGTAGCCCCGGCTCTCACAGAGTTACCGAAAAAGAAACGGTTAAACAGAGACTGGAGGGGGAGGAAACACGATGTTAAAATCGGAGAAGAAAAAGAAAACTACCTAATATTGAGCTACTGGATATTAACTTGTTTGGTAAAAAATACGGATTTCTTTTTTTTTTTGCTTTCCGGGCCTGTTTCTACACCCAAGGAAACAGGGGGAATAATGGAGCTTCCTCTGAAGCTGCTGTCAAACACCAGTCTTTGACGGGCATGGTGAATGCCCTGGATGGTGATGGTGAATGACAGGGCATTGCTTTCGTTGGTGCTCCCTGAAGGAGCAGCAGCAGCAGCTCTCCCGCCACCACGGCCGGCTCCAGCGGGGCCGCGGCAGCCACCGGTGACTGGGGCAGGTGCCGAGGGACCGACATGTCCCCTTTACCCGTGCTCGCCTGTCCCCCAGTAGCGGTGCCGGTGGTAGGGCTCTGACCCGCTCTCTCCTCTCCTCTGTCCCGGGAAGGCTCCTCCTCCGCCCCCTCCAAGATGATGCTTAGCCCTGACCAAGCTGCCGACTCCGATCACCCCTCCTCGGCTCCCTCCGACCCGGAGTCCCTCGGCGGCGCGGACCCCCAGCCGCTCAGCTGCTGCGTCTCCGACCCGGAGCCCGCCGAGGGCGGTGGCGGCGGCAGCGAGGGCCGGGGCGGCGGCGGTGTCGGGGAGGGCCGGGTCGGGGGCCGGCCAGGGCTGCACCCGCCGCCGCTGAGCCGGGAGGAGAAGCGACGGCGGCGCCGCGCCACAGCCAAGTACCGGTCTGCGCACGCCACTCGGGAGCGGATCCGAGTGGAGGCCTTCAACCTGGCCTTCGCCGAGCTCCGCAAGCTGCTGCCTACCCTGCCCCCCGACAAGAAGCTCTCCAAGATCGAGATCCTGCGCCTCGCCATCTGCTACATCTCCTATCTCAACCACGTCCTCGACGTGTAGCGCCCGCACGCCCCGAAGGACCTCCGGAGCCCCGGGACACTCCCCCACCTCTCTCCCCGGGGCTTCTCCCTCCCGGTGCGGTGCGGCCGACGGCGGGGGGGGGGCCCCCCCCCCTCCCGTTTATCGACGAGAAGTGTAAAACCGGATTGTTTCTTCAGGCTGTCAAGTGCCCCTTTATATATATATATATCCAAAAAACACATCTACTTGTGACCTTAAACGTGTGACCCATGGGTGCAGTTAAAAATAACTATTTTTTATTTATGGTAGAAGGAGTCGACAATTTATTTTTTTCCAAGATTTATTTATTTTTCAGAGTGGTGGCGATTTTACTTTGGATACTTTGTGCCAATTCGTTTCTATAGTCGGGTGTTTACACTTTCTCCGTGTGGAACGTTATGTTTAACTTTATGAGTGTTTGTTGGGATGGATACAGTGTTCCTTTTCCTTTATTTATTTATTCCTTTTAATTCATTTCCGCCCTCCAATGATATTGCACTTGTGCACGACAAACCTCCCCTGTTTATATTTTATGTATATCAAGGCATTTGTTCTTGCCCTTTCCCCCCCCCCCTTTCTTTTCTCGTGTGGTATGGACAACCACTAGCACTTAACTAGGAGAGGGTTTTTTAAACACTTGTTCTTCTGATCTATAGTTACGTCTGGAAAGTACTTTGCAAATCGTTTATAAGGAAAGTAGTATCTTTGTGAGGTGTATATGTGCGTGTGCGTGTGTGTGTACATGCATGTGTGGGGGAGTGAGCGCCGGTGTGTATGTGGGATGGTATATTTTTAGGAAAGGACCTTTTTCCTAAAGAAAAAAAATAGAAAAAAAAAATAGAAAGAAAAAGTAAATCCAGGACTGCTTTCCTTTGTGACAACCAAAAAAAAAAAAAAAAAAAAGATATTCTATAACCTGAAGATGTTTCATGTTCTTTGCTGTGAATCTCTTAAAACAGGAAGCGCATTTGAGGGGACGAAAGAGAAAAAGAGAGAGAAAAATAAAAAACAAACCACATCTGCTATCCAAAGATTTTAGTCTTTTTCAGGGTTTTTTTGTGTGTCTCTGTTGCTTTATATAATGCAATATTTTGTAGTGAAAATAGAAAAATCTGGTTTCTATCTGATGCGTTTTTCATATCTCTCATGAATGGTGAGCTGTTTTGCATATAAATAAAAGTATCAAATAAAAGCTGTTTTTTCCTAATTCTTTTTCCCTGTTGGTCTTTCTATGAGACGGAGATACAATGCCCTTACAAACTACGGGGATTGCAAAGGCTTCTCAGGTTGTGGGTGGAAAAGCTTCAACAGGTTACCTGCTACTAGGGACACTCAGACTGCAGCCCCTCACCACGGGTTCCCTGCTCCAGCGCCTGTTACCTGGCTGCACTGTGCCCAGCTCTGCATCGGGCATAAGATTGCTAAACCCAGCTTCTCCCAGTCACATCATGACTGGCATCTGGTCACACATGCCAAAGTTTAGGCTGTAAAATCTAATCTGGTGCTTGCAAGCACCCGTTTCCCCTCATTGCTCTTTGATACATCTGACTTTGGAACCAAAATGTGGGTGTTTTGTCCTGCACTGCATTTTCTGTCTCGTGTTTAAATTCAGTTCCTTGGTCAGGTCCAATTCTACTGGAATCAAGTAAAATCTCTTGGATCCTTTCCCTGTCTCTGAAAACCTCAATCATACTCTCTTATATAAGGCTTCACTCCCAAAGCTTGTTGTTTGAAACATGGCAGAGACAGACTCAGTAAGAGGCAGGTTATTACCTGAGTAACGGGAGACCTTTGTGCCATCTCATTTGTTAAATCCTTTTGTTGTTTACTGCAAGGGGTTAATTTTACCTGTAATTTGAATATTGCCACTCACTCGGAAGGCTGCGTCTCCCATTGTTACTTGCTGGAGAGATAAAACCCTCCCCTCCTCCTCCCGTTTTTATGGCCGACACTTTGCACAGTGGGTTAATTAAGTGCAGGGCTTGACCAGCTGAAAAGCTCCATGCAGAAATACCTGTCAAAGAGGCTGTTAATTCCACTTTCTAGCAATGTACGCTTCCCACATCCCAAGGGAGCCCAGGCGGGTTTGGTAGTTCAACGCACAGTTCCCAAATTCTGCATCTTTTGGGGCAACTCCAGTGACTTTGGAGCTGGTTTTCTTTGGGACACGCTTGTTTCTTAGGTTCTGTCAACATCGGGGTCGAGATTGATGCTAATTGCCTGAGTGGTATTATAAGTCCTGCCATTCAACAAGCCTTCATGCTACTAACATGCATGAGGGCTTAGATAATAAAAAGATTAATATATGATTTCCTCCTGAGCATGGGAACACACTTTTTGGGCAAAAGAGTGATCTGATTTACCTTACTGCAAATACTGTATTACTTTACTGGCTGCAGTCACTGGTGGGACATAGGCTGTGGGAAAAGGAAGTGTGAACCCAGCACTCCCCATGGCCACACTCTCACCTCTGGGGGTCTTGCAAACACATCAGGTCCCACCCAGCCTGAGAGATGCTCAGGCCAAGGCCATTCAGTGAAGATGCTGTGGACCAAGCAGTGGTTATTAGCCCAGGGTCTTGAGTTTCCAGCCACGGGACTCTGTGCCCAAGCAACAAGACAGTGAGACCCTGTGTAGGAGAGGGTAGTGTGGAGATGTATGGGAACAGGTTAGGTTTGGAAACAAAAACATCCTCTGGGTTATACTGTTCCCACCATCCCCATAGACACCAGAGAGCCTGCTTGTGCTCAAGAGAGAGGGCAGGAAGGGCTTTGATTTTGGTGGTATCCCCAGGATCAAGCCACAAGTTTAACCTGCAGAGGGGTCAGGGCACTTGACATATCCCTTTCTTCCAAAGGTTTATCTGATGGAAGAAACTGCTTTTCCCTACAAGCCCTGTCTCCTTTCCGTCTCTCAACACATTGCTTATATCCTCTCACCACCATAGCATCATTCCAACCACTTCAGTTTTTCCTACTGGCACCGAGAAGGAGCCTCATTCTCATCTAGCAGTTGGTGTTTGTTGAAAACAAGATGTAGCTTTTTCACCCCCATCCCATGCCTTCTTTTACTCTTGAGAAAGATCTGAGCAGTATGTACAAGCTGCAAGGCCAATGCAATAAAAAGGCTTCATGGCTAAGTGCTCATAAGCCCAGATTTATGAAGAATGGGTAAACAACCTTAACTCCACCTCATTGCAAGTATGTGTTAGACAGCAATATATTTACTTAAATAATCAAAGTTACATTGCCTCAGTGATACAGGAACAAATGATCTTGAGTGACAATATTATAGGAGGAAGGGCGTGGAACTGCTCGATGGAAGTTTATACCATGCATGGCCAATGCAACAGTTGACAGGGAAGAAACAGAGGTAATATTTCCTGCTTTTTTAGGGACTAAAGCTAAGATTAAAGCTACATTCAAATATCTTTCTTTCACATTTAAAGAGGAGATCATCCTATGAACCATGAAAGAGCACACTCAAAGAGAGAAGGCAGAGCACTACTTCTAGACCTTTAGCTAATGCCGAAAGAGGTGCTTTAATCCTGACTCAGTCAGGATATAAAACATTAAATGGAAACATCTGGCAGTCACAGAGAGGAAGTATTTCCAATGAATAGACCTGGAATATCCCAGTATGAAGGATATCTAGTGCTCCGTTAACAAAAGGTGGTAACACCTATTAAGACACATTTGCAAGCCTATATGGACATACATGGGCATGGGGTGCAATGTGCATTCACATCGGTATTGTTAGGAAACAGGGCATCTAATGCATTCATCTGAACCCTGGAAACAGATCCCAAGCCTCATACAGTGAATGAGGACAGGCAGCAAACCAAAAGTAACTCCTACAAATAAACATACCGGTTTCCACAGGACTGTACAGCTAACGGGGAACTGTTTCTATGAGTATCATCTACTTTCCTAGAGCATAGAATATTCCAAAATACAGACTTACATTTATGCTGCTATAGATATACATATACAAAAGGAAGTATTTCTAGACATGGACCATCACTCACTAGCTAAGTGCATGGTATGGGTATATTCAGGATCACACTACTCGTTAGGCACAAAGTAGTGGCTTACTGCTTGCATTAAAAAGTGGGTGAGCCAGGTAAGATATTATCACTGATACTTACAGCAGAGAAATCCTGAGGGTCTTGGATGTGATTTGATATCTTTGCTGTATTTCTAGCAAAGACTGAGTGTGTATGAGAAAGAGATGAAACCTTCATGGGGGGAAGGGAGCTGAAGAGGATTCTGTATATGAAATCCAACAAAGAAATGGATCTTTTCCATTATATAGCCATGAAGAAACCCATGCGACATTCTATCTATCTATTCACATATCTATCCATCTAGCCACCCTGTAACTCAATTAACCCAGTCCTTTTAGGGTGAATAAATGCGTTCTAATATCAGCCATTATTTTTCAGTACTCTCAGTTTATTCTCCAGGGTGGGATAGATCAATAACCACAATAGCAACCGACCCAAAAGGAAAAGGCAATCTCTTGGCACTTCTTCTTTATTTCTTCAGAGGTGATTTTATTTCTCCTGCCTCTTTCCCTGGTGACGGATTTTGCCTTTCCTGCCCAGCATGGCCGTGTTGTTTTATCCTGGGCTCTATTTGCATGTGGGCTTCAGATTCGTCTTTGGCTCCTTGCTCGGTTTGGGATGAGACCCTCCTGTCCCCAGAGAGGGGGGCAGGTGTTGCTCCAGTCGAGCGAATGGAACCAAATTACAGGACCGTCTGTCGCCTCCTCTGGGAGCCGGCGGAGGGAGGGGAAAGAGGGGAGGGGAGCGGGATGCCGTGTGACAGCAAAGAAAAGCAGAACATCATCCTGATACCGATAAGAGCTGGAAAACACGAGTCGCCCCAGCCCACAGCCCCACCCTAAACCAGGCAGCAGCCACCTGAAAGAGAAATGTCATGAGCAGGGACAGAAATAAACCGAGTCACTGGGCTGGAATAACTTGGGCTTTAAGTGAAAGAGAGCTCAGACCCCGTTCACTTTCAGACACACAAGGGCAGGCACAAAGTTGGGACAGATAACGCTGCCTCTTTCTCAGCTCCCTGCTGTGTTCTTTGATGCCTCCTCTTCTATCCCTCTAGAGCAGCCTCCTCTTCCCACTGCTGCTCTCCATCAGCTCCCTGCAGCCAAGCTCCTCAAGCAGCTCTTCCCTTCCCCTCCTGCCTCCCATCCCTCCCTCCTGCTCTTCAAGGTCCCTGAGAGATGCATGAGTCCACCACCACTGCCAGCCCATGCCCTGCAGTGCCACAGGATCTTGCTTCCGTGGGGAGATGCTTGGTGCTGCAGCTCAGGGGAAGAGTGACAGGGCTGGTCTCTCATTTCCCCTCCAATCTGTGCAGAGTTTTACCCAATCAGCCTGAGAGAGATAGCTCTTAGAGTGGCAAGGCACAGAGTCACTTGTAAAGCAACAAGTGACAGTTGTTCTGCTGTTCCTCACTGAAACGTGAAGATCATCAGAGAAGAGAAAGCTGCTCCAGGGAGAATTCAGAAGAGACCTGGGAGAAGGAGTGAAAAAGGTGGCATTAAAAGTGCTTAAATCAAAGCAAAAGCAGTGCAGAGTGAAAGAGGGAAAAGCGGAAGCCAGGTCACATAGATGGAGGGACCACATCAATAAGAGGATGAAGGATTTTGCATGAGGGTGGTGGGCTGTACATGTGCATCTGGGGCATATGCAGATGGAGCAATGAGAAAAAACACACGTGAAAAGGCAGGCAGCAAACATGGGGAAAGATGGCAGCAGAAAGTGTGAGAAGGAGAAGGATATGAGGGTCTGGGAAGAGCTGCTAATATGGGTGGATGGGGAGAAGATGGTCTGGCAAGCCAGAAGCAGCAGCTAGCTCAGGGCTTTAGGAGTGAGTTCAGTCAAGGAACAGACAGACACCAGGCAGGAAGAGAAGTGGAAGGAGTCACTATTTAGACATTCAGGACTACTGAGGACTGATCACTACAACTTTAATCCTGGCCAGAGGGATGGACTGGCACAGGGATTGAAAGGCAAGGATTTTGTCATATAACACCTATCCTCCAGTGAAGTCCTCTGCCTTTCTCCTTGCTCAAACCTATTCTGCATATTGAAGTGGGAGAAAGATTTGCAACCCCCAAGGCTAGAGCTCAGCACAGGCTCACAGACAAGATAAGCACTAAGAAAGAAAGAAAAGAAACGTA